TACGGTTCAGTCCCAGCTGAATGTCTGCATGTCCGGCAGTCACATCACGCACATAAAGTGTCTTTAGTAACAGTGTCTTACAGTCTAGTTCTGGAAAACAACCAACAGCAGCAGAAACAGCCTTCATGGTTTGTGGGGCCTTAAGGGCTTCCCTAGACAACAACTCACAAGGGGGCAGCCCATCCCTGGCACTGGGGTTTTCATCCAATAACCTTATGGCTTCTGGGAGCTTCCTTTCCCACCCAAGTTGGGTATGGCTTTTGGATTTAAACTCTGTAGCTGTTCTTTTAATAACGCACTTTTCCTTTCGATTAACCCAGCCTGAGTGGGATTGTAGGGTAGTGGAAGTACCATTGTGCATACCTGTTTGTCTCTCCACTGGTTTTTCCAAACCTGCAAAACACTCAGAGGTTAGCCTTCTGTCACCTGTGTAACAGAACCTTGTCCAGAGGCTGGGCGGGGCAAGGCACATCCCAAACTGCCCTCCCATATCAAAGATAGCCTTGGTGAAGTACTCTGAAAGCCTGTTGTAACCTGTTCTCAGTAGGGGTCAGGCGACCCCAGAGGTTCACAACTAAGAAGATGCTAAGGTCAAACAGAAGCACAAAAAGGTTTCATCTATTTGTGTTGGTTTCTCCACCAATCAAGGTTGGGTACAAAGCATGGAGAGGAGGTGCTGACCTAGTTCCTTGTGATCATTGCTCATTTTCTCTGAGCCATTGTGTTTCCATATCCTGGAGCTCTTGCACAGAGCCTCCCTACATCTCCCCACACCTGATGAACTCAATGGGCCTGACTTCTGCTCAGACCAACTGCCCAGGGCCAAGGGGGAATGTGGTCCTGCTCTCCCCTCCTGTACCCGCTAACAGCCTAGGTTAGACAGGCCTTCAGTTGGCACTGTAGTAGTTGCCTCCCACTCACCATACCCTGGCTGGGCAAACTATCTCTACCTCTAGCATAACCTGCTGTGGGGGGATGTATCCTTTATACTTGGGGGTAACTATCCACCCCATGACTGGCTTAGTGGTCTTTACTTATATTCTTCTATCATGGATGTCTTCTGTGAACTGCTACTCAGACTTTTAAAGCCCCCCAAAGCCCTCTAGTGCCCAATCTGGCTTTCTATCAGTTATTTTCTTAGGAACTCCACCTCAACAATCCTGCCACATTTATCTTTGACCCGCCAGACAGACTTCCTTCTCTGCTTTACCTTTTCTTGTCTCTTCTAGGTTGCTCTCTCACTTTACGGACACAGCTGGTCCAAGTCACGGGGATCTGCTGAAGCTTTTCCTACTTTATAAACATCTTTCCCCACTAATGGGACTCGGCAAGACCACCAAAGCTCCACACCAGCCTCAAGGTCCCTGCTGGGTCAACCTTTTGACTCCTCTGTGAACATGATTTTATCCGGCCTAGAGAACTGGGGTTCAAACACAGCTTCTCTCATCCCCAGTTCCCTCAGTAACATCCGTTCTTCCTCTGGTCCTCCAGCCCCTTTATATTTGTGAGGACCTCAGATGGAGATAACCAAGTGTTCCTAATGGCTCTGTAAGCTAGCCCATCAGGGACTGGTTTCTCTCACACTGTCTCAGGTTATGGCTGGGTCTTAAGGAGGGATGGGTGGTTATATCACTCAGTGTTCCTACCTCCACAGCGGTCACTCCCATGTCCCACAGCCTCACATACCAGGCTGAGCCAGGATCTTTCTTTCGCTGCCTATTTAAGAGTCTTTCCTAGTTCCAGAGCTGAGTATTTCATGACCATCTTCGTTTTTTTGTGCCGGACCATTGTAAAGATCCCATCTGTATGTTAGACCACAGATTTCCCCTAATTCTCTACTAAAGCTGGCATTTGATGGGTGTCTTCTACTGCCCTTCCACCTCTCCTTATTTCCCATCTATCTAGTTTACTTGCTAACACAATGGATGCTCCATATCTACCTTTCTTGTTGCAACTGCTCCTTTGTACAAACAAGTTCTTGATTTACAATAACAAGTACTAGGTTGGCAATCATCTTAGTCCTAGATGCATTTTTAACTGCATCCAAGAGGGGCCAGGCAACCTCCGCCTCTGCTTGCCTACAGTCTCAACCCTTCTGTGCTAATTTCAAAGACTTTGAGATTTCCTCTAAACCTTTAACTGTTTTCAATGAATCTCTATATTCACATTGTGTCCCCCTGCAACCCATCAATCAGGTACGCCACCCCATAACACACAGATGAAGACTGCCATCCTGGTATTCCTGCCACAGACACTCCTAATCCTGACGGCTAAGCCTCAGTAGACTGTCTCACTTCCCACAGTAAGAACCACGCAGCTGCTGCCATAGCACAAAGGCGTCCTAGCACACCATACAGGAATGTCACCTGCATCCGAATTTCCGGTGGATGCCCCCCCTCAGATTTCTCCGCCTCAGGCGCATGTCTTGATATCCATAGCCAGGACCATGTACTCACTCCTTCCCAACCCATCTCTGGTTCTGTCATGTCCCTGTTCAGGTGCCAATTACGTTGTGTGACAAAACTTTTCCTGGGGAGATCCAACACACATGTCTAGTTACCCCAGACCAAAACTCACAACAGATCAAAGTACAGGTATGTCCAAAGTCTAACTTTGTGAACCATGGAGTTTTATTGGGATTGCTTACAGGAGTATGGGTGAGGGGTTACATACAGGAGCAGAAACAACTCAAAGACAGCTGCATCACCAAAGCCCATCCCGGCAAGCTGACAGCTCACAAAGCTGGGAACCTGGAGCACACTGCAGTCTGCAGACCGTTCAACAGGTGGGAGAGTCCTTTCCAGATGCCTCAGGCAGTCTTAACCTCTCCCAGGCAGTCTGCTCTGTGAGTCTTCTTTCCTATGAGTCTTTGCAGCTTAACTTCCTCCCCTCTGCGGAAAACGCTTGCTTTTATTGCTCATTTTGGCAGGTAAAGGTCTAGTAAATCAGGTCAACTTCAGGAGTTTCCTTCTGTTTAAAGAACTTCCCAGCAGGATGGCATGTTCCATTTGTGGACATAAGAAGACTTCCATTTCTAGCTAAACATGCTTTCAGCATCCTCGCTGCACTGGGAGACAAGTCCAGCTCCCCAGAAAGCCACTCCTGTCTAGATCAGATTGTCCTTGCCATCTCCTCTCCAGCACCAAAACATCCTGCACCTCACTGTGTCCCCAGCTAGACCATCCCCGCCCTTCCCTTGCAGACTTGTCACATGTTCTGGGGGCTGACACAGAGTTTTTGTTTCCATCCAGGCATGCAAATTACCAGAAGACAGGAGAGACAGACACCTTGCTCACCAAGGAACTTTTTGTGCTGTGCTTTGCAAAGGGGATGTATAGCAAATGTCTGTCAAGTGGATCAAGGATGTGCAACCCTGGACCATGCACGGTAATAACCAGGATGTTGGCGGCACTGACTTCTCTCCAAGAAGTCCAGACTCCTTACATTTATTTTTAAAATACCAATTAGTTTTTTCTTTATTTTAGAGAATTAGTCTACTTAAAAGAGAGTAATCATGGTTTCTTCTGCAAAAAATACCTGTTCCAGCCTGCCATGCCGACCTCCAGATTACTTTTATTTAGGTGCACAGTCAGACACCTGAGGACAAAACTTACTCTCAGAACCTCCTACAGCACATTTTGATCTTTTTGTTTGGTTTCCCCGCACAGAGCTCTGGTGAGAACAACCAAAAATGCTTTGCTTGGTATTTTCAAATGCAAAAAACAAGGGTTAAGAGGACACACAGATTTTTCAGTGCCTTAGGCTGGAGGAGGTAGCTGAAGGGTCTGGCATTTGTCTAGCATGCTCAAGGCCCTCGGTTAGACGAAGGCAGCTCCTAAATCATCCGAGTGAGCATCTAATTTGTCTCGCACTTAAAACAACTCACTCCACAGCCCTACTTCCTGGTGAGCTCCATCAATATAGGATGTGGGCATTAGCAACTTCAAAAAGGACTATAGAAGTACGGAATGAGAGAGCTAAGCTTCTTCCCTGATAAAGAGCTATCTGACAAGGGAGAGAATGAAGTGATTCCTAGTGTCCATGCATTTTCTCACAGACTTATGACCACTGCGAATTAAAGTCAAAGTCTACAAGGTGCAGGTTGCCCAGTTTTAGTGGAGGCGATAAAGACGCAGGCTCCGGTGGGCTGGGCCGATGGGCGGGGCATGCAGGTAGATGCCTCCAAGCGCGCCAAATGGGCGCTGTCTCGGTGGAGCCTATCTTCCCCGCCCCCCCAAATGTCAGACGGGCAGTGCCTACGATGGGGAGGCGGGGGTTGTCTTGTGGGTGGATCGTGCATGAACCTCTGCACGTGGGGTTTGAGGACCGCGGTAAGTGGAGCCTGCTCAGGAGAGAGCGCCTTTGCCTGCGTGGGCGGGAACGAAAGGAGAGGAGTGGGATCTGTAGGCAGGGTCTCAATGGGTCCCGCCCCCGAGGCATGCGGTGGGCGGAGTCCACCCTAGAGCCAGCGGACTCGCTCTCGTGGGCGGGGCCTAATGGCCAAAGGAAACCGCCGCTCGCGCGGTGCTGGGCCTCCCCACCTCTACAGAAACGTCGCCGCGATGCAGCTTACGGGACAGTGCTTTTCGTGCCTGGACGGCTGCTGAATAGTTACCATACGTTTCACATGTGTACTTCCGCTTCTCACTGTCTTCTGCTCTCTGCCCCGCCCAGACTCAGCGGCTGCGCCTTTATCACCTCGGCCGTATCTACACGCCCCCCTCTCTTCAGCAGCTTCCTTCCCGCTGGCCCCACCAAACCCTTCAGACCCGGGCAACTCAGCCGCACACGAGCCGACCGGCACCGAGGGGGTGGGGACCGACCGCGCAGTGGGCGGGGCGACGCTGCGGAGCGTTAAGGCACGTGAGGCCGTATTGGCCAATGGAGTGACGCCGTTGAGGGAGGCGGGGCGGGGAGAGGGCGGCGTGGGGCCGGCGCAGGGCGGGGCCTGGCGCGGGGGCGGGGCCTGCCGGGAGAGGGGCGGAGAGACGCCGCCGCCGCTGCCGCCGCCGCCGCCGCCGCCGCGGCTGCCGCAGCCTCTGGGAGCCTGGAAAAGGGGAAGCGAGAGCGAACGAGCGACTCAGTCCCCGGGCGGCGGCTGCAGCGGCGGCGGCGGCGGCCGGGGCGGCGCGACGGCTGGGCCGGGGGCGCTTCTGCTGCTGCGGTGGCGGCGGGCGGCGGCAGGGGCGGCGGCGGCGGCGGCCCGCACCAGCCATGCCGAATAAAAACAAGAAGGAGAAAGTGAGTCGGGGCGGGGGTCTCCGAGACCGGGACGGGGGGTCCCCGCGTTGGCGGGTGGGGGCGGGGCGGCAGGTTGTCCAGGCTCGCGGGCGGGCCCAGAGCGCTGACAGGATTGCGTGGAGCTGGGGAGGCCGCCCAGGCTCTGAGGTGGCGCTGAGGTGTCGCTCTGGGTGGCGGCGGATGCTCCGTGCAGTGCTGTGCTTGGCGGGGGCTGGGGTGCTGGAGTCTTCCAGACTCGCCCCAGAAACCCTCACTCGTGAGGTTTAAGGGTGGGAAGGAAGAAAGGGATGGGCCGAGATCCCTGCCTAAGATTGAGTTGATCTGTCCCTGCCTGGAGTTTTCACCCCCCCAACCTAGACGAAGAACATGAAGAGAAACGGAATCTGAAGGCTTCTGGTACTGTGTCTGTATTCCATATGATGTAGTTTGCTGCTGGCATATTAAAGCCACCAGAAGCTCTCACTGCTATGAATCAGTTTGGAAAGGGCACTTGAGCCAATGCTTAGCGGTCCACATATTGAGACCACTAATTGATTTTTTTTTTTTTGTGACGTTTCTCAGGAACCACCAAAACCGATGAAAAGTGGAAAAGGTTCAAAAGAAGGACAAGACACAGCAGAGCCAGAGGTAACTGGTGTCACATACTCATTGCTTTTCCTGAGCAGCTTTTAATCTAGGGTCTAACACACAGGGTAATGAAAACCAAAGTCTCATAAAATGTGTGCCTGTCTGAGACTTTTTGAAGTGTTTTCATATGTTACTTATTTTTTCCCGCTTTTATTAAAGTGCACGCCATAAAGCTGACATTTTAAAAATAAATTTGCTGCCTCTGACCTAGCAAGCCTTCCCATGTGAACTTGTCTTAAATTGAGCCCCTACCTCAAATTTATATTCCTTTTAGCTTTAGGGTCAGCCCCTCCGGCCTTTCCTGGTTATCCGGCGCCTTTCTGGGTGACTCTTCCGTGGCCCTTGCTTTCCTTGATGCAGTCTCTCTAGTTGGTGTCCTAGGCAGGCTTCCCCTGCCGATATCTGTTCCCTTGAGGCCTCTTCAACCACGTAGTGCTGGCATTTATTTGGCATCTCTAATTTGGGTACTTTTTACAGTCTTGTGTTTCTTTTCTCTCCAGTCCCTATCCTCACTGGTGAGTTCTGACTTTCCTTGCTTCCTGGCTTTGGCTTATTTCCCCTCTAGCTAGAATGCCCACTTGGGTCATTTGGGAGAATCTGTGTTCCTTAGTAGAGTTTTATACCTTGGGGGCATTTGCAGAGTCGCCCCTTTCTTTTGCCTTCTCTTATATCTCATTGTCTTGGAACTAGAGTGCCCCAGGCCAAGGATCTCAGAGCTCTGTTGGGTCAGTTTTTAAAAGCTTCTCATTAGTCTTCCTTCTCCAGAACTGGATCTTCGAAATCTTACCACAGACATTTTTAATTTGTGAGCGTTAGGCCTCTCCTTCCTGCAAACCGCATTAGAATTTAGAGTTCAGCTCTGCCTGGGAAACGTAGTTAACTGCCGATATCTGCAGGGGTTATTTTCGTTCCAGGTTGTCTTCCCCTCTCATGTGGTGTGTTCTAAGCCTCCCTCCTCTGCAGCAGGTGGTTCATCCCAGCAAATCTGTTTCCCTCCCTAGAGCTGAAAGCAGAAATCCAAAAGGTTCCTGAAATACCAGTAGTTAGGAGTGTCTGTGCCAGTCTTTGCCTGCCCTTTCTGTACAGCAGACCGTGATGTTTTCCTGTGGCAGCGCTTGTGTTTGACTGCCTTCCAGAGCCAGCGCTTCAGCAATTTTTACATGAAATGTAGTTGCTCTTTGGGGGTATACGCTGTGTGCTTTCTTTGTTGCTAAAACTTCTTACTGGTCCCCAAACCTTCCTTGCTCAAACATACCTGTATCCCATTCCTCTTGGGGGTCGCAGAGAAATATCAGTATGTGTGTCTCATTTCTCTGAAATGAACCTTGCCGTAAGGATAGGGCAGATAATGTTGAGTTTTGGCCTGAAAAACCCATCCCAGTTCAGAAATGCCCATGCCAGTGCTGTGTAAGAAAGTATCTGTGAAGTGCATTGAGGAGTTTACTGGCAGCTGTGTAGGGCTCTTGAGTGTGGCCTGCCATGTCCAGTGTGATGCCCCAGTTGTCTTTTTGTATCTTTTCTAATGCAGCTGTCTAAGAACTGGAGCCACAGAGCTTGAAATGACCACTGAAAAGCACTGAAATGTTGGGCACTCCACTCCTTCCTCGGAAGGAGACCCGAGGCAACGTGGCATACTAAGCATGATACTTGGCAGACCCCTGCATACATTATTTTGCAGGAATACAAATCAAGGTGCTTTAGTTCCTGTGAACTCTGGGTTGACTTCTACTTTCTGATTTTCCTCCCCTCAGCCTTCAGCCCTATTCTTTTCTAGTCCCACCCACTTACGGAATATGATTGACTCAGAGAGTGAATTAAGTCATTACTGCACACACTTTTCTTCTATTGCTCTGAATTGGACTATTTTAACCTGAACAGTTAAAATAGGTTTGGTATTCCCGTGCTGCTCGTTGAGCCCTTCTAACTTCATATCCCCTCCACAAGCAGCAGTTGCTCACGTTGCCCCACAAAGGTGGCTCTGAGTCTGGACAGTTGAAACACTCAGGCCTCACAGCCTGGAGAAGCGGACAGGGCAGGTGCCTAGCCATGGATGAGCTACCAGAGACTTAGGGGATAATCCCAGCAGAGATTCAAGAAGTTAGCCATGTCAAGTATGTTTAGAGTCCTTACAGACACTTGGCTGGTGGTCCCCCAGTCACACAGGACACAAGGCATCAAGCAGTTTATACCAGGATACTTTGGGCTAGAACGTAGGCTTCCTCATGAGGAAGGGAAGTCCTAGAGTGAGAGACAGAATGAGACACATTGCAGAGCTGGAAGTTAGAGAACAAAAATGCTGGTTCTTGCTCGCCACGATTGATGCCCTCACTCCCCTTGTGCAATGTGTTGCCTCATCTCTAAGACAACTTAGTGAGCTAAAGATTTTGGGATCCATTTTTCACTATGTGGGACAGATTAGGTCCTACTTTTCCTAAGAAATTTTGCCCTGTAAGATGTATAGCAGGATAGATCTGTTAGTATAGTGACATACTGTTAAAGGTGGTCTGGTCTTTGGTTTATATAATATACATATGATAGGTATATAAACACTGTTAAAGGTGGTATAGTTTTATATATGTATAAATACTGTTAAAGATTAGTATAGTGACAAATCCCTTTAGAGTGCTGGACAGTTCTTGCCTTGTTCTGGAAATCTCGTCATTGCCTTGTTAGTACATTTCTCTTTCCTTTTTTCCTCTGTCAGATAGGATGTTAAAGTTGGACTTGTTGCTTATTCCCACGTGTCCTGAAAGTAAACATTTCTGTCCAGTGCTAGATACAGGTTTATTTTGTATGGTATCTTTAACTGACAGCCACAGCTGATCCATGGGCCTTTTGAAGTTGGAAAACTTTGTGGAGTTGGACAGAGAGAACTAATTAGCATTCAGATATAGAGGACCATGACTAGGCACATTTTTATGAACACTTAAAATCTTAAAGAGATTATACTGGGATCTGGACATTGATTTTGCAGGGTCAGGCCGTTGGATAGTGTTGCTGTGTTGTCTTGTGTTTTTTAAGATCTGTGTACTTTGTCCAAAGTTGACGTTTTAAAATGTGTTGAAGATTTTTATAAATGATTTGCTCCAGCACATTAAAAGCGGTGTGAGTCTGGTTCTCTGTGTGTACTTCCTATGCCCGGCTCAGCTTAGTTTTGTGGGAAAGTCTCTCCAGAAACTCTTATGTAACAGCCAGTGCTCGGAAAGAAGCCTGAGCAATCTTCCCTCAGACTTGATAGCTCATTTTGACATCGTTTCCCTTTCTGATTATTCTGTCCCTTTGCATCCGGGAGCAAGGGAGAATGAGCCTTGTTAGGGATCACATTGTACTGACTGGTATATAATGGTTTTCTATACATTAAAACTGAAATTTACAAACATTATTAATTTAGTAACAGAACAACAATTATGTGTAAACATGAAAGTAAACATAAAAGATACTTAGAAAAGTATCTTTTAAAATTAACCAGGGGCTTTCTGCTCATGTCTCTGGATCGGGCATCTTTTTTGAATAAATTGGAAGAGACTATGGGAGTGGTTTAGAAAGAGCCACATGGTGACTTATCTGACACCCTCTGTGGAAGGGCCAAAGCCTCCATCCATAGGTTGGCTTCAGCCTTACCTTGATTGGCCCTTCTCAGGCCTAAGGCCCTTCCTTGCCCAGTGCTTGGGTGCCACCTCACATGGGAACGCTTGGGACCTGTTAGCGGTTGGCTGTTCCAGGTTGCCTGCCTTTGGGGCCTCAGAAATTGCTTCTTCCTGAAGGTACCCTTTCCTCTAGTTCCTACTCTATCCACATGTAAGCTGAGAGGTGGGACCCCTGAAGCCCCATGGACCACCAGTGCATAGTCTACATGGGCCGTACCAAGCCAGGTGCTTCGTAGAGGCTGTTGTCAGGCTGTGTGTATTCATCCTGACCTCACCTACTAAATGCCAGTGACAAAGACTGCTAATATCTCCAGAGGACGGACTGGCCCCTGCTGAGCCACAACAGGGAAAAGAGCTCTACAGTGTACGCATACTTGCCTCTAGAGTGTGTCTGGTGCTCTCTCCCGGTTATGCTTCCATGTAGAACAGCAGTGCTCAGACAAAAGGGAAGGAAGGGCCCTTTATACTCCTCAGAGGCACTGGGAACCCAAACAGCTTTTACGTAGGTGGGTTACAGCTAGCTACCCATATTTTTCATATTAGAAATTAAAACTGAAAAAATTTAAGTATTCATCAATTCAGCTAATAATAGCAATAATACTCATTACATGCTAACAAAGATAGCATTTGTGTGAAAATAACTTTTTAAAACAATTCACTGAGAAAGAAGGGCACTGCTCTAGGTTTTTGTGAATCTCTTTAGCTGCCTGGCTCTACATTCAGTTAGCACATGCACAGCTCACAAAAATCTTCACAACATGAGACTTCAAAGGAGTCATTAAGCCATGTCTAATTTACTATGAAGACAGTTTGGCTTCCTGGATCCCTTGAAGCATCTGAAGGGACCTTCGGTGGCAGCTGCAGACACACTTTAAGGACAGCTGTTTCCAAATACCTTCCAAGGACTGGCAGGATGGCTCAGTGTGTTAAGGCACCTACTGTCCAACCTAACAACCAGAGTTCAGCCCCCGGGACCCATGGTAGAAGAGAACTAACTCAGGCAAGTTGTCCTCTGACCTCTGGCACACACGCACACAAGATAAAAGAACTCAACAAAGAATCCCTTTCTGTCTTACCGTCTTCCAAAAAGTTGACAGAAGCCTTCATTTTTTTTTTAGCAACAGCTCAAATCCATCCATTCTGAAATTTAAGAGGTTTGATTTTTTTAAAATTTGTTTTTATGTATGTCCGTGAGTGTTTTGCCTACATTTGTGTGTGTGCACTGTGTGTGCCTAGTGCCCATAGGGGACAAAATAATTCTAGGAGTTTGTAAGCTGCCGTGTGGGTGCTTGGAGGGAACCCAGGTCTCCAAGGATGACAAGTGCTCTTAACTCAGTCATCTCTTCAGTTCAG